AAGATCCCATGTATAGCCTTTAACAAACAATTGGGGCAAGTGCTGTTAGCGAACACCTATGAAAGCCGGCACGGCACACGAGGGGGTGGGGTTGCCCGCACCACGCCCGGCCGCCTTTGACTCCCCAATGGCGATGTTTACACACTGCACCAGGTACTCATTTGAGGCCGAGTCGACCTAGAGGACGCCCAAGACCGCTTCAGATAATCGTCACTGGTGTCGGCCGTGAGCGGGAATGGAACTCGTGTCACCGGGTTCGTAGCGCAGCGCGCTAACCGCTGCGCCACCGCTCCCCACACGCGCTCACACTCACGCACATCGAGTCGCAACTCGTTCACTCACAAGCGTGCATTGTTCTTCGTTGTCTACCCCATGAGCAGATGACTCAGGGGGTTCACAATGGCCAGGGCAGAGTCGCTGAGCCAGAACCGCTGCTAATCTACGTTCAAATCCAAGCCTTAGCCGCAGTGAATAACAACTGCACTCACTAAATAGCCGCACAAACACAAAACAACCTTCTCTGCACATTCGTTTCGTGGGTTTCACCCCTCCCCCTCCCCCGTGCCGAGTGGAGTACAAGGGTTTAGTTCGCAATCGGCGTCAGCGACACAACGTTGAACTGTACTGAGCGACATTTCAATCGAATTCGTCGTATCCGGCTTACACGCACGTTGCTTTGGGGCGCGAGCGGTGGTGCAGCGGTTAGCGCATCGCCCTTCCCAGCCACGGTGAACATCGGCGGTGGAGCGCTCTTTAAAGCGGTGCCCTGCTGGGCAGCATCCCCTCACCCCACCCCCACCATCACTACCATCTTCACCAACCTACAATGACCAGCGTGGTGAAGTATGGTCAAACGACCGCCGTGACCGGCACGACGTAGGGAGGCCTTCATCCAGCAGTGGATTAAACTATGAACTATGATTTAGTTTGTTATTTTAACAGGTATGGCCCACTGAGCCATGTAGCTCTTTTATCAGAAGCGACCTGTCCACACATGACAGCTCAACGAAGTGGCTTATCACGTGGATATTTACAGCAGCGAAATACTCTTAAACGCCGTGATGTCGATTCTATATGTGGAGGGGAAAATCGGAGGACCCCGGAGAAAAATCCACGCGACCACGAGGAGAGAGAGAGAGAGACACCGCAAAACTCCAAATATACAGCAGGCGTTGTCAGGGTCGGGATCGAACCCACGCCTTCTTGCATACCAGGCGAGGTAGTTAACATCTCACCACGGGGAGAGAGAGAGACACCGCAAAACTCCAAATATACAGCAGGCGTTGTCAGGGTCGGGATCGAACCCACGCCTTCTTGCATACCAGGCGAGGTAGTTAACATCTCACCACGGGGAGAGAGAGACACACGCAAAACTCCAAATATACAGCAGGCGTCGTCAGGGTCGGGATCGAACCCACGAACCTCCTGTGTATCAGGCGAGGTAGTCAACATCTCGCTGCCGCGGATTGGCCGCAGGGCAGCTGTAAACGACTCTTAACTGTTCACGAGACACACAGACACAACTGCCCCTTGCAATCTTTCGTACACCTCCAACAGCAGCGATTACAATGCAGGGGGGCGGTGGGGGGGTTGGTGGGTCAGGCACAGATCCCGCACGCAACGCGAAACTCGGAAGCGGACATCGCCACTGCGGCATTCATTCGCTTGGGCAAAATTGGGGCCTTTGAGACACTCGCCCTCGCCAGAGGCCACTGCACCTCCCCCCCACCACGCTACCCATGGGGAAGGAGGGAGAGAGCCACGGATAACGGGAGCCACGGTGGCGTTGCGGATAACAGAGTCACGGACGCAGCGGAGTTCTACTGCGTGAAGTCGGAGGCTGTGCCTCGCCCTCTCTACGCGCTCTGAAGAAGGTCCATTGCCTGAAACGACGCGTTATATTTATACACGCGCAATTTATTTATTTTCCTTTTAAGGCCACGTACTGTGTTGTTGCTGACAGACGCGTCACGGTTGTTCTGTGTGTTTCATGTCAGCGGGACGATGTGCGGAAGTGGATACCAGGGAGCTACCTCCGAGAATGCAGCCAAAGGCGAACGGAATGAACGTGCCTGGTGGGGTTCAGTCGCCGGAAACCAACCGCAGCATCAGCCACAGCGCAGTGGCTCAGCCGGGATTCGAAGCCAGGAAGTTCACGGAACAGGCACAGCCGCTCTGAACACTCTCTGATGCAACGAGGTCGCCTAAGACATGTTTAGCTATCCGAAGCGGTGCTGGGCCTTCCCTAGGTCGACTCAGCCTCAAACGAGTGCGAAGTGTAAACATCGCCACTGGGGAGACAAAGGCGGCCGGGCGTCTTGCACGCTACCAACCCCCTCGTGTGCCGTGCCGGCCTTCATAGGTGCTCGCTAACAGCACTTGCCCGCACAGTCTGTTACAGGCTATACACGGGGGGAATATTTATCTTTTGTGAAGTCATAGCTTTGTTTGTGTATATTATTAGGTACTGTGCTAGATACATATTAATATTACTATACAGTGCATGTATGTTTACATCAGATGTACTCTGTAGCAGCTACATATAGTACGTAGTGCTGTGAACGGGAATCGAACTCAGGTCCCAGCGGGTTCGAAGCGCAGCGCGCAAACCGCTCAACACTCACGACCGCTGCTCCGTTAAAGACCAAAGATAAAGATCCCCCGTGTAGCCTGTAACAGACTGTAGGGGCAAGTGCTGTTAGCGAGTAGCAGCTATGTAGGCCGGTACGGCACACGAGGGGGTGGGTGGATAGGACCACGCCCGGCCGCCTTTGTCTCCCTTGTGGCGATGTTTACACCGCACCAGGTCTCTCATTTGAGGCTGAGTCGACCTAGGGGAGGCCTAGGACCGGTTCACATAATTGTCACTGGTGTTAGCCGTGAGCGGGAATCGAACCCGGGTCGCCAGGTTCATAGCACAGCGCGCTAACAGCTGCACCACCACTCCCCACACAAAGATCCCCCGTATAGCCTTCACACATTATCGGGGCAAGTGCTGTTAGCGAGCACCTATAAAGGCCGACACGGCACACGAGGGGATGGGTGGCCAGCACCACGCCCGGCCGCCTTTGTCTCCCAAGTGACGGTGTTTACACACCGCACCAGGTACTTATTTGAGGCTGAGTCGACCTAGGGGGGAGGCCTAGGACCGGTTCAGATAATCGTCACTGGTGTTGGCCGTGAGCGGGAATCGAACCCGGGTCGCCAGGTTCGTAGCACAGCGCACTAACCGCTGCACCACCGCTCCCCACACTCACACACACAACAGCACCCACACAGTGTGAGAAGTTACTCGCCACTCGTTCATTCATTCGGTTTGGAACAAAATTCGACGAGGGTGGGTGGGGCAAACGGTGGGCCAGCACAAACATTATTGAGAAACAACCGCTGGATTCTAAAGGGGGGGGGGGGGGGGTGGATTTCACGGAGCAGGTGATTTGCCGGGCAATAGCTGGGTCAATTTTCACGCAACTTCGAACCTCGCCGCGCGCGATGACGAAATTCAGAAAGTTGGTGGGAAATTCCACATTCCCAGGGCCGGCGCCGGTCCATCCGCATGTGAGTTACCATATAGGTCAGAGTTCTTCGCTAATTTTCAGAGGGGTGGGCACCCACACGTGCTCCACACATTAAGTGGTCAGCTATCAATGACTGTGAGAAAGTGCTGGTAATTCCACATTCCCATGGCCGGCGGCCGGTCCATCCGCGTGTGAGTGGTGACCGTTATCGGTGAGTGCTCTTCGCGAATTTTCAGAGGCATCATTGGCGCGCGAGGAGTTCCGACGCACATTTAAAACCATTGTTGGGTTTGATAGCGACGCGATGACTTGGCGTTACAAGATAAACGTACAGAGAAGGCGACGTTTCGGGCAATGACCCTACTTTGGAAGGACTGTGTTCACCCATTCACCAGGCGGACGTAACTGTGGATGGAGGCGGCTTAGCAAACAGTGCAGCACGTACTCACATGCTCAAGCACTCACAGCTGTACACACACGTGCAGGACACACAAGTGTACAAAGACAAAGATCCCCCATATGGCCTTGAGGCAAGGGCTGTTAGCGAGTACCTATGAAGGCCGACACGGTACACGAGGGGGTGGGTGGCGAGCACCACGCCTGTGCGTTTTATATATATACACACACACCACAGACTCATTTAAGGCTGAGTCGACCTAGGGGAGGCCCGGGACCGGTTTAGACAATCGTCACTGGTGTTGACCGTGAGCGAGAATCGAACCCGGGTCCCCAGGTTTGTAGCGCAACACGTTAACCGATACACCACCGCTCCTCACACTTGTACACACACACGCGTACTCACTCACACGTGTACACACACGTGTACACACACACGTGTACTCACACACACACGTGTACTCACACATGTACACACTCACACGTGTGCACACACACGTGTACTCACACGTGCACACTCACACGTGTACACACTCACACGTGTACACACACACACGTGCACACACACGTGTACTCACTCACACGTGTACACACTCACACGTGTACACACTCACACGTGTACACACACACGTGTGTACACTCACACGTGTACACACACTCACACGTGTACTCCCTCACACGTGTACACACACGTGTACTCACTCACACGTGTACTCCCTCACACGTGTACACACACGTGTACACACACACACACACACGTGTACTCACTCACACGTGTACTCCCTTACACATGTACACACGTGTACACACACGTGTACACACACGTGTACTCACTCACACGTGTACTCCCTCACACGTGTACACACACGTGTACACACACACACGTGTACTCACTCACACGTGTACTCCCTTACACTTGTACACACGTGTACACACACGTGTACACACGTGTACACACACGTGTACACACACGTGTACACACTCACACGTGTACACACACGTGTACACACACGTGTACATACACGTGTACACACACACGTGTACACACACACGTGTACACACACGTGTACACACACGTGTACTCACACGCTGGCGATCCCCTTGTCTTCCACCTTCTGGTGCATGGCCACCGAGAGCCCGAAGAGGCTGCCTTGTGGGCCCTCCTTCACCAGCGCCTTCTCCGCGTCCAGGTTGAACGCGGACGCTGATGGGGCCATCATCGCCATCACCACCGCCATCAGCACCGCCACCATCACCAGCCCAGCGAACCTCTCCATCCTCCTCCACATGGATCTCTCTCTCTCTCCCGTGTCCAACTCCCTCTGTCCGCTCGATCTGTCCGTGTCCAACTCCCTCTGTCCGCCGGATCTGTCCCGTGTCCAACTCCCTCTGTCCGTGTCCAACTCCCTCTGTCCGCCGGATCTGTCCGTGTCCAACTGCGTCTGTCCGCTGGATCTTATCTCACTGGCTGCGCGTCGTGGAGGAGTTCATCAGAGTCTCGGAGATTTCGTGAAAAACAAAACAAAAATCTCGCCCCACTGGCGAAGGAGGATGATGACGATAAGCCGGCGTTCTCCCGTTACGTGGGGGTGGCTCTGCACGGAACTCTCGGCTTATTAAAGGGTCGTCCGTCTCTCCGTGTGTGTGTGTGTGTGTCTCTCCGTGTGTGTGTGTCTCTCCGTGTGTGTGTGTGTCTCTGTGTGTGTGTCTCTCCGTGTGTGTCTCCGTGTGTGTCTCTGTGTGTGTGTCTGTGTGTGTCTCTGTGTGTGTGTGCGTCTGTGTGTGTGTGTCTCTGTGTGTGTCTCTGTGTGTGTGTGCGTCTGTGTGTGTGTGTCTCTGTGTGTCTCGTTCGATGTACCCGGCACCCGCCTCCTCTCTGGAGCAGTCCCCAGCCCCGTCGCGCGTCTCAGGAGGCGAGAGTGAGTCCCGCGCGTCTTGCCGCTCGTCTCCTGCCTCCCTCTCTCGGCTCCCTCCCCCGTCTCCCGCTCCTCACCTTGCGAGAGGCAACGCCCACCCCCACCGCACACCAACCACGCATAACGTTTACAGCTCCCTCGCCTCTCTCTCTCTCCCCCGACACTCTCCCCTCTCTCAGCTATTGATACCAACTCCCCCCCCACTCTCTCCCTCTCCCCCGTCTCTCCACCCCCACCACCCACTCACCCTCGCTCTCCTCCCGCGCTCGAGTGGCACAAACACCACTCACCCCCCTCTCTCTCACTCTCTCTTCACTCTCTCCATCCTCACGTCACTCACTCCCCCCGTCTCTCTTTTCTCTCTCCATCCTCACGTCACTCACTCCCCCCTCTCTCCCCCCCTCTCTCTTCACTCTCTTCCCTCTCTCCACCCTCACGTCACTCACTCCCCCCTCTCTCTTTTCTCTCTCCACCCTCACGTCACTCACTCCCCCCTCTCTCTTCCCCCCCCCTCTCTCTCTTCCCTCTCCCCCCCTCTCCCTTCCATCTCTCCCCCTCCCCCCTCTCCCAGACACCAGCACCGCTATTGACTCTCCCCTCACTATCGACTTCTACCGTCTCTCACGGATTGCTGCTCTCTCTCTCTAACACCATCACACCCCCATGTCTCTATCTCTCTCTCTCTGCGTCTCTGTGTGTGCATTTGTGCACCCACACCACTGACGATTATCTCAACCGGTCGTGGGCCTCCCCTAGGTCGACTCAGCCTCAAATGAGTGTAAATACCGCCACGAGGGAGACAAAGGCGGCCGGGTGTGGTGCTGACCACCCACCCCCGTAGCGTGCCGTGCCGACCTTCACGGGTGCCACTCGCTCACAGCACTTGCCCCAACAGTCTGTTACAAGCTACCCGGGGGATCTTGGTCGTTGCATCTGTGCACGCGTGCCCGTGTGCCCGTGTTCTCCGTGTGCGCGCGCGTGTTGATTGCCTGGCGTGGTGCGTGTAAACATCGCTACTCGGCGAGACAAAGGCGGCCGGGCGCTGTCTATTTTCCCCAATCACCACGTCGTGTGCCGACGACGCCAGCATGATAGGTGCTCTTGAGCAGCACGTGCGACCCCAACACTCTGTTAAATGGCTATGGGGGGGGGGGGTTAAGGGGGGGGGGGCAGTGTTTGCATCTGTAAGTCTTCCGCATGCAAATGGAACCAAACATTGACAAGGAGCCGTGGAACAATGGCTCCGCGTGTTTGACAAATGGCAGGCAGGGATGGGGTGGTGGTGGTGGTAATAGGGGAGGGGATGGTTAACCAACTTCGTCAATTCAAACAGAGGGCACCCCCCCCCACGCCCCTCCCAATCCGCTTTTCCTCTTTGTTCGCGATGTTAATCCGAGGCGAGCCGATAAAATCATTTCCCGTTGTGTGACTCGCCGCTCTCCTCTAAATGATGCGGCCGGCGACCGCTCGCGATTAACGACGACGGCGAGAATAATTAATAATTCATATCACGGGACATTGCTTTCTTTGCCAGTGTCAATTTATGAGAAATAAGAATAGGATGTTACCCTTTCTGGCAATAAAGCAGCAACAGTTGTGGTTTAAAGATGTTCAAACGCCAAAAAAGATGCCTCTTGCAAGGAAGCACGTGCTACACTGACCACACACTGGTACTTGTAGTGAACATGCCAACAAGCGTGCCTCTGGTCATATTTGCAATGTCTTTGAAACTCGTTGGCCTGCACCAGAGACGGCAGCCTTCTTCATTGCCTAGTCTCACCACCAGTGTCAGACCAGACGACAACGCCAAGTGGCGAAGAGTACAAGGACACGTAGAAGAGAAATAATAAAATAATAAATAATAGTAATAAATAAAACATAATAAAATACAATTCTCACGACGTTTCGGCCACAACACAAGCAGCCGTCCTCAGGAATAAAAAAAACCGGTTTATTCACATGAGGACGGCTGCTTGCATTGTGGCCGAAACGTCGTGAGAATTTTATTTAATTATGTTTATTTTTATTATTTTAATATTTCCCTTCTACGTGACTTTACCTAAAGAGCCAAGAATATGAATCGCTGCCGTCACGAAAGAAGCTTTACATCGAACAGTGCAAGTCAATGCCACACGCAGTAGAGCATTTGTAGCTCGGGGTGAGCAGCGACTATCATGGGATAGCTTTTAGCAAGTATCAAAGTATGGAAAATACGAATGGGTTTACCCTTTCTGGCAATAAAACTTGTTTTAAGATGTTCAGACACCAAATAAAATACCTTTTTGCAAGGGATATCAATTACTGAATTGCCTGCAAGAAGCCAACTCAGCGGATTCATCAACAACAACACCGTGTGACTTTACAAGGGGGGACGAAAAAAACATAAAGCGACGTTTCGGGCAATAGCCCTTCTTCAGAGCACAGGGATGGTCGCTAATTATAACATGACCTTACTTACCCTGATAAAAACAAGCGCCTGCATCATTCCCCTCGTTGTATTTCCACATTGAATAACAGTAAATACATATTTTATATATATATAACAAAAACACTTCTCACACATTACTACATCGGCGCTACGGATTTCTGATGAGTGCACTCTCAATCGGCAGCATTGTGTTTCGACACTCAAGGATCTCATCAGCAGTCTGGCCGGCCGATCAGCTGGCTGGCTGACACCTTTGGCGCTGATGTAACCCGTTGTTTGGTCCTTAATAAAGGGGGCTTTGTTTGGGTTAAATCGCGAAAATATTAATGTGTCGGTAAACCCGCCACCACCCGACACAGCGAATTAGTGAGGTTTGTCACGTAAACAGAACTTGCCATTTCGTTACTAGTACGAGTTAAATATAAATGTGTCGTTAAACCCGCCACCACACGACACAGCCCATTAGTAAGGTTTGTCACGTGAACACAACGTGGCCAATTTGCGGGTTTAACGACGCATTTATATTTACGCGATCTAACCTCGCAAAAAGAACACAACCTAAATAACGGATTAGGGGCCGTCCATAAATGACGTCACGCAATTTTGGACGATTTTTGACTCTCCCCCCACCCTCGTCACACGGCGTCACAAAAAGTCAGACCCCCCCTCAAATATGACGTCACAAAGCTCTGCCCCCCCTCCCCAAAAAAAAATAAAATGCTTCAAATCGCTTTAAACTATTGTCGTCGTAGTGCGTATTTAATGTGGCGCTGCGCTCTGATGTTGTAGGAGAAAACATTTATCAAAAGTTTATTTAATTAAATAAAACGTGTTGTCTCTATTTATTTAAAGTTGCGCATTTTGATGTGACGTCACATTTCCCCCCCCCCCTCGTCACACATCGTCACAAATGTCTGACCCCCCCCCCCTCCCCCCTAGGTGCGTGACGTCATTTATGGACGGCCCCTTATATTGGTCGCGCGTAAACCCCCCCACGACGACTTCTACTGCGACGCGTTCCACCGTCGTTTGAGTGTCGCCCTCTTGCGCTTTGAACGGATCTCCGAATAAACGACGCGAATTGGAGTCACTTCCCCGCGTCTCAGGGACTTCGGCTCGCGCGCTACCCCCACACGCCGCACGCCAAGGCGCGGTTCGCTTCACTCTGCGATGATCAAACAAAGCAGCGATACGAACTTTGGTTAATTAATCTTACATGTTGAGTAACGCGACGCTGTCGCAAAGTAGTGGCGAGATGTTAACTACCTCGCCTGGTCTACAGGAGGTCGTGGGTTCGATCCCGACCCTGACGCCTGCTGCTGTGTATTTGGAGTTTGCGTCTCTCTCTCATCACGGTGGCTAGGAGATGTTAACTACCTCGCCTGGTATACAGGAGGTCGTGGGTTCGATCCCGACCCTGACGCCTGCTGCTGTATATTTGGAGTTTGCGTCTCTCTCTCATCACGGTGGCTAGGAGATGTTAACTACCTAGCCTGGTGTACAGGAGGTCGTGGGTTCGATCCCGACCCTGAGGGCGACTCAGAGAGAAAGAGAAAGGGACGACTCAGAGAGATAGAGAGGGACGACTCAGAGAGAGAGAGATGACGACTCAGAGAGAGAGAGAGGACGACTCAGAGAGAGAGAAAGAGGACGACTCAGAGAGAGGACGACTCAGAGAGAGAGGGAGAGGACGACTCAGAAAGAGCCTCAAACGAGTACATGGTGCGGTGTGCAGTAAACATCGCCACTGGGGAGACAAAGGCGGCCGGGCGTGGCGCTGGCCACCCCCCTCGTGTGCCGTGCCGGCCTTCATAGTTGCTGCTCGCTAGCAGCACTTGCCCCTACAGTCTGTAACAGGCTACACGGGGGACCTTCGTGTCAAAGTGTGCAACTCTGTGTGTGTGTGGGCAGGCAGAGGAAGTCGAGTGGTGAGCGCGCTGCGCTACGAACCCGGCGACCCGGAGGTTCGATTCCCTGCCACGACCAACACCACTTGCGAATATTTGAACCGGTCCCGGGCCTCCCCTAGATCGACTCGGCCTCTAAAGTAGCGCCTTGGTGTGGTGCGTAAACGTCGCCACTGGGGAGACAAAGGCGGCCGGCGTGGTGCCTGGATCGCACCAAACCAGTGCCCGACCTTCATGGGGGTGCTCTCTAAGGGGCCGTCCATAAATGACGTCACGCACCTAGGAGGGGGTGTCAGACATGTGTGACGAAGGGGGGGGGGGGGGGTTTAGAAATGTGACGTCACATCAAAATGCGAAACTTTAAATAAATATAGACAACGCGTTCTACGTAATTAGATATAATTTTTAATCAATAATTTCTCCTACAACATCAGCGTGCAGCGCCACATTAAATACGCACTACAATGACGATAGTTTAAAGCGATTTGAAGCATGTTTTATTATTTTTTTGGAGGGGGGAGCTTTGTAACGTCATATTTGAGGGGGGGGGCGTGTCTAACTTTTTGTGACGTCGTGTAACGAAGGGGGGGGGGGTTAAAAAATCGTCCAAAATCGCGTGATGTCATTTATGGACGGCCAACTAAGAGGTAACTTTCCCCAGCAGCCTGTGGAGGCTACGTGGGGGACCTTTGCCTGTGCGTGGCGGTTGAGTG